GTTATGTTTTAATAGTCTACATATACAAAGAAAGCCAAAGTGATTGTACAAAACCCAGAAGTTTGAGGGGCTAACACTCAAAACCTGCACAGATCGCCTGACAGAAACCTACTTGCTGTACTACCTTCTCCAGGCATCTTGTTTGTATGCACACAGGTGATTGTCACACGCGTATGCGCATTATCAACCATCTCCATCTAAAAATAACTCAATTTCACGTACAGATTAACCACGATTATAATTAATTGTAACATGAAAATATGCATTATTAATTGTATCACTGTGCTATATAAAAAGACAATTATAACCTAACTGAATTTTGATTTAAAGCTTTCGTGACTGCAGTAATTCATATTCTTAGCTCTTTCGGTAAAGTCACGTTGAAGGGAAACAATAAAATAATATATATATTTTATTATATAATATATAACCTAACTGATTTTACTTTCTAATTGCCTTGGTATATATATACAGTACCATCTGCTGATGAAACCCAGGTTAAAGCTGCTCTAGAGTTTGCTTAGTTGAACAAATGCTCCTCTCCAATATCGGTCTGTAAAGCCAATATGCCGGTGAATTTAAAATGCATTTTATTCACGTGTTGGGGCAAAGTGGGATTCTGCTTATATACGCGTGAGCTCACACCGTGCCGCAATGTTGTGCAAAAGTAACGACGTTGCTGGAACGCGGTGCAGCTGACGCCACTCGCCGTTTGGCTGCGGGCCACAGATCGTCTACTGTGGCCGCGAGTGACCACCGCGAGAGGGTTTGCGGTGATGAGCATCAGCCCCGGGGACTGCCTCTCTTTCTCTCTCTCTCTCGCACAACAGCAAAACAGCCAGTGACCAAACACTCTGTGATGGTCAAGCGATCAGTCAGTTACACTGAGACTTTTTGAAAATAATTAACTGCACCCTCTAAATAATTCGGCTTGGTGTGGGTAAGATGTGGCACAGTGGAGAGTGCACTACGCTACGAACCCGGTGACCTGGGTTCAGTTCCCGGCTATGGGTAAAATCAGTGCTGAGTGATATCTGAACAGGTCCCACTGGCTAACGTGATGACGTCTGGCCAAACACCCCCCATGACAAACCAAAGCCTGGGGAGGACTTCAAACAAGTTGACAGAGGGCTGTAAATTATTAAACTTTTTTTATATATCAATTTTCTTACATAATACATTTATTTCCGTGATTTAAAAAAAAAATATCAAATATCATGATGGTACTGTAAAAATAATGTGCTCACGATTTTCACTGATGACTTTTGAGGTGGCGGTAAATATTCCACAACTTCAATGCACAGATCATTGTCTCCACAAGACAATATTCGGCTTTCATAACAAAAATCAATGATGAGCCTACGTTGGCAGTGGTGCACAAGCACCATTCATAGCACTTGAAGATTTTTTTAGGTTCTTTAATACGATTGATTGCTTGATATATACACGACTGCACTCGAAACCCGCATTTACACATAAAATGGCTTCTTTAAAAAAAAATGGGTCCACACCTTTAAACAAAACATTATAGGTCTTTTTGTGATTAATTTATTACCAAGTATTGTTTTATTTTGATGAATTTCGTTAATATATTACAGTACAGTATGCTAAAACTCACTTGACTGGTCATTATAAGTGCATGAGTGCCATTCCTAGTTACATTTACAATTAAATGTCAATCGTTGTGTGATAGTTTTAACTCAATTACAGTACTGCCAAATGCGTTTGTGTGCTCATTCAAATGCGCTTTCACATTTGCATATGTATATGTAAATCTATCGTCTTTCTGTCCGGGAGTAAATAAGCTGCGATTCAAAACTCATAGCACACACATCTCAAGCCAGCATCGTGAGGACGCTTGGAAGAAGGAAATATTCAACATGTAATCCGCAGGGAAATGAATCTTGAGCGAATTAAATTATTTGGTCATAGCTCAACTATAAGCACAGCGAGATGACTTTGAAATTAGATGTGTGAAGTGCTGCTTGATATTGCATTGCGACCTGCTCAATATCTTGGCATCGAATGTCTCCTGGAATCCCACAAGATGTGTAATTACAGCACAGTTGAGCTCATAAAAAAACGAGTCACGTTCGGTTTTCGGACCGAATTACATTTTTAGTCACAATTATCTGTAAAGTCATATAGAAAAAATATTATTATTGTTAAATTGACATAATGGCCTTCCTTTTTATCAGACCAACAAGGTAATCTTTGCCTTCATTTAATAGGCGACTACAGTACCGTACATTAACACAACTATAATGAACTAGCATGACATCTGTTCATATGTTATGGCAATTGACCCCACCAACCTAGGTTAGCTGAGCTTTCGGTAAAATTGCCAAATTAATCATGTTCGTGTCATGCATGACTGGCATCAAACCACTTACATTAACCCAATGAGTAGGGCTCAAGTGCTTTTCCAAGTCACCAATTACGTTAACTATTTCAAGTTTATTTGGCTTAACCAGGTAATAACTCAAGAGACCAGGATAAGGTTCGTTTGCAAGAGTGAGCTAAATCACAAAAATGGCAAAAGCAATAAGAGTAAAATAAAGTAATGACGCAAGGGGAGGATTTCGCTTGCCCACGGTCTCAACTGCTCCACCGGGCGACCTCTGGGTTGAAGGTCACGTGTGATAACAATTGCTTAATGGCAGCATCCCCGATCTGCATTTATATTACTTTTTAAATCTTCGCTCAGCGTGTGGCTGTTAGATCACACGTTTAAATATAGAGTAAAATGTGTGAAGTTTAAGGGTAATCTCAATTTAAAACAACTAATCAACAGAATGCGTTAATCTGAGATCATCCTTTTGCCATTTTTTTCTTTTTGCCGTACTCTGTGGACAACATTTTTCAAATTACAATATTAGTTATATCATACATTCCAGACTTAATACTGAAGACTGAAAATAATTGCATCGAATCATTGTTAAAATGAAAGATATACCCGCAAATGCCCTTGACTCTTTCAACTCATCAGCTTGGATTTGCCTTCAGTCCCGAGAGGCATGGGGCCGAAGCCGCTTGTAGCTTTTCCCAATAGCATCTTCTATCTTCTATCCTGGTTATATGCTCTGCTATAATATATTATAACATTTACCCACAGTATATTTTAGACTATGCGTATGAAACCTTAAGAAATATGTTAGACCCCCCCCCCCCCCAAGCTTAAAGACTCTCTTTTGAAAGTATCCCGCTTGGGATGTTTATCCAATTGTTTATCAAGCGCTTCTGTGCCTTCGGGAAGAAACTGGGGTACCTAGAGAAACCCGCACACATGAAGGGATAAGAAGGCAACGTTTTGCACAGATATACTGAAGTATGTCAATAAACTACTTGAACATATCGTGCTGTCAAGTACCTCCTGTATCCCCTGCGCACATCTCGGATATCTTCAAGGTTCATTTTACAAACACCTCAGTGATCTTTTTGGTATCTTCTAATAGCATATCATAATACATCTCTCAGGCAATTCCCCGTACATCTTCGCGCTAAGATCTCCAAAACATTAATGATATCGGCCAAACATCTAAAAAAACAGGACCATCCTCAAAACCCTTGAGACTTAAGCAAGGCTTTCCTGCTGTGTGATTCAGTACTTTTTACATAAACGGATTAATCCGTGTGAATGTTTGTTCCAATACCTCCTCCTTGAATGCGCCACGGATTTCAGTGAGTGAGCTATCAATTGAAATTGTATGATATGCAGTTTATGCTTGGCTGTCGTAAGTACGAAAAAACATTATTTTGTTTTACCTTTGGATCGATATTTGTTTTGGCGCAAAGGCCCAGGCGCTGTACGCACGAATCTACTTCTCAGCATCACTGCGCCAAAACATTGTACACTTGTGTTATTATCATTATAAGGCTATAATCATTATTGTTTTGTTTTACTGGTATGATTTAACAAGTTCATTAATTTTAATTGTTGTTTTACCCTTGAATGTTAATGGTCAATCAAATCTTTAAATGACCATAAAAACCCATCTTCATAACACAAGTTTCAAACAACACACAGACAGACAGACAGGTTTAAAAAATACTCAGCATTTATGATTGTTCTTGCATAATGCACAGATGTCGAGTGCTTTTTGTACACTTATTTGTGTGACCTCGACGGGTTTCTCCATTAGCTGGATTATATTCATAATAACTGGTCGCGAAAGCCTACGTGTTAAACTGGATTATATTATTACATCTCTCCATGGCATCTCCCGCTTACATTTTCTAACATCTCCCTGTAATGTTTTCCCGCACGTGCCGCTCTGTGGTATCAGTTGTAATAAGCTGTGCAAAACCCTGCTTGTCAAAGCGTGTGGAACGGCCATCATCGCTTGTGGCACCATATAGGGTGGGCCCTGCCAAGTTTTTCCAGTGGTGAGCGACGTTGCTATGTCTAATCCCAATTGAGTAGTTTGTTGGTAATATGGCAGCAATGGGATGCTTGACCAACACCAATTACATTGTACGTTCTTTTTTTTTCAACTATGGGAGGAAACCCGAGAACCCGGAGTAAATCCATCCAAAATCGGGGTGTAACACGCAAACTCCACATAGAAAAGCCACCCGAGTCAGGATTCGAACCCAGGGACTGCTTGTCGTGATGCACAAGTGTTAGTACTGCACCACCCCTGCCGCAATACGATCGATCTCGTCAGATCTCGGCAGCTAAGCATATGTGGGCCTGGAAAGCGGTTGGATGGGCAGCCTCCATGCATAAATCCGGTCTCATGTGCTGGTGTCGGGACAGCGTTGTACCATACTGCGCTCCAACGTCCATGCTCTCCCGCCTTCCTTCACCAACCGGCACTGACCAGCATGGTGAAGTATGGCCATACGACCTCTGTGACCCGCACGGCGTATGGAGAATCCTCATCCAGCAGTGGATGAACAGGGCTGTACTTGAACACGTATGCTCACAGCTCAATACTGAATGACGCAATTGCGCTGCGCTGTTTACCCAGTACCAAAAATAATGAAGTGGTATGAAATGACAGCGTTGTGAAAGGTTTATTTTTTTTTAGTACATTTAATAAACACGTGGGCTAAAAGTATACACTGAAATCAGTCGTCTGCATTCATACGAGTTTCACGGATTTGCCCATCAAGGATGTACGTACGCCACACGCAGAGTATAGAGACGCAGGACAAATACATTATAGCCATTCTCAATTCACGAGTTGATGACGCTTTTGGGGGTCGTTTGACCATACTTTACCACGCTGGTCAGTGCGGGTTGGAGAAGGAGGCCGTCTCGGAAGGACTCGTTTAGATAGTTATCACTCGCCACTGATGTCCGTGAGCCGTGGCCAGGAATTCAACTGCGGTAGCCGAGGTTCATGGAGCGTATTGAGTTAACCACCGCACCACCACCGCTCTACCCTCCCACGTAAAACAGACACGATATACTGTATACTTTATATTCGTATACCGATGAATACCAAATACACTGCATTTGAAATCGTACACGCTGCTGTTTAATCGTTAATTAAAGTACCGTAAACACATGTTTAACATTGCGACCAATATATTGTGTCCATTCGTCGTATAAACGCGGTTAATATTCCATACGAATAAGACATCAATGCCAAACCAATCTCCGAATGAAAAGTTTCACTGGGTTCAAGCAACTATAAGGTGATCCATTTATAGATATCCTACTCGTATAATATATATGGAAAATCTTTTTAAAGGAAATTACAGTTTAAGATAGCGATACAGCTTTCGCCACGGTGCGCAACCACAGATAATAATTTAAAAATGCCCAACACGCTTGTTAATAACACTGCATTCAAAGGAGAAAACATCTATATATAATAGGCAACGTTTGCGTTAATGGTCTCTGCATGTCCATCACCAACATCAATATAGTTCACGTGCTACATATTTGAACGCTCTCCTCTGTGAGACATGGAGCTATCGTCTTCGCGTTATTCGATCACCTGTTGGATTGAAACGTGGTCATGAGAAATCCACGGTGTGTCTACGAAGGGATCGCCCTGCAGAGGATAATTCAGGATCACGCAGCGCACTCGACCACCAATCGGGTGCTTGAACCCGCTTGATGGTCGAGGTCACGCCAGAAATCAGATTAATGATCTCTGAATATATACAACTTTTTTTAATTAATTGTCATGACCATTGTACCGCTCACGACCGAACGTGTATACATTCTCAAAATAATCAATCATGAGTAACGCAAGTACACGGTAATAGCACGATAGCGATTTACTTTGGAGAGGAAAACCGCACTGACGATTTTAACATAACGTAAGGTTGTAATTCTAGGTGATCCTGCTTCAGGCAACAAATGAATTAAATTCGTATACCAGTTACGTCCTTTTTTGAAAATGCAGCACAGGTGTTGTATATTTCGCAAAGGCAGGATTATTTTACACATTACATCACATCGAACAATACAAAAAGTGTGTGAGCATGCCCCCACCATTTCTCGTTCTTGAAAACCCACGAGAGTGTAAACCACAGTTCCAGTCGGCGCAGACGCAGTTACTTGTCAAAGTGTCCAATGTCCAGACGCTCTTCCATATCCACGAGCGGCTGAGATTTGTTCCTCAGCCTGGTTCGTGTCCACTTGGGAAAGTGCAGCGTCTCAGGCACCTCCTCACAGGCTTCCGATCACGATCGCCTCCACCTCTTTGGAAGGTCTCCGCTCCTTGACCAGGAGGTTGAGCATGCTCTCGGACTTTATGAGAAGGTTGCAGCCCAGGAAGAAGATGCCGAACACCACGGTGATGGAGAGCACGCACATGACGGCGATCTGCACGACGCGCGTGATGTAGACGCTGCGCTCCTCCAGCTCGGCAGACGAGGAGCCTGCCCACGCGTCGTCGGACACCACCACCAGTGCCCGGTCGCAGCAGCTGGACGCCTGGCCGTCGCTGCTCTGGTTGATGTTCAGGGCAGCCCTGAGCACTGCGCTCGCGTTCATCTTCGCCGCACGACGCAGAGGAGGGGGGAGGGGGGGCCCCTTCGCGTCCCAAAAGCGCCAGGCAGCGAGCTCCACGCACACCAACGCAAGCAAACAAGAGAGGAAGAGAGAGTGAGAGAGAGAGAGTGAGCTGTCGGTGAACTCTCTTGCTCACTGCGTCCTCGAGCCCACTGGGGAGCAACGCGTCTTCACTCACACTGGATAAGCTGGAGGAGAGAGAAGCTCTGGCCAAAGCGGGGGAGGAGGAAGGTGCAGTGGCGCGCGTGACTCGTCCCGGTGCTGCTGGTTTTGATTCTGGCAGCTCTTCCATGTCACGGAGCTTTAAAAGACTTCGGAAGAGACCACGTGTAGGTGGCGGGGGTGGAAGAGGGTTGGGGAGTCGTGGTGCCTAGGAGGAGGAGGAGGCTGGATAGATCACGCTGAGATAATATCGGGAAAACGCGAGGATACTGAAACAAAATAGATATATATTTTAGTCGATCATTTGTTTTTTTATTATGGTGATGTCGCAGTCACCGCATTCCCCGGATTATATGACGGCATCTTTTTTTGTTCCCTGTATTTGAGCGCAAAAGTTGGGGGTTGCGTCTTATAATCAGACCGGTGTGTGTGTGTGTGATCACATTTTGTTTAAAGTGCACATAGCCTGGCACAAGCGCCGTGGTGACTTCACCGCCACTTCGTGGCGAATGGCGATTGTTGTTGATATTTGTTTAATGTTATTGACACATTGCACAGGTTTGGGGTGCGTCTTTTCGGAGCGTCTCATAATCCGGATGATGCGGTATTTAGATGCCGCCCGTGTATGAATGGGTGATTGCACACGAAGCACCACGTGCACATATGGACGTGTACGTCAACTGCAATGGCACGACGAGTCGCGTATGTTAGGTGTACACAACGCGCACGCAATTCATGACCACTGTCTGTCACAGTATGCGGTGTCCAAACTCACAGAGATTCAATGCAACGTGCACACACGCGCATACACGTGTTCAACTCTAGACGCGCTCGGTATTCGTGCACTCTCGTGAAGACAAAACGAGTCGGAGGCGCAGGCAATCACGCGGTGAGCGGGCGGCCAGATACAAACCGAAGCTCTGCGGTCCTCGCTGTATTAAGGTGTTATCGATCGATTCATGAGTCGTTCACATGTATGTGGGAGGAAGCCGGATGAAAGAGCGACGCGTACTCGGGGCAAACACTTTAGAGTTTAGCTACATACAGGCAACAACAGTTGGGAGTCCACATTTGCTGTGCCGCCTTCTCCTGGCAAGCCAGGGTTATGACACCTCGACAGCCAATTCTGTGTGACCCACCAAACCTCGCCTCCACAGTATTGGATGATCACAGGCGCGCAGAGCCACCATCGCCAGTTATATTTCTGCTTGCCTGTGTCCCACGACAGTCCAAATGGCCGAAACGTTTAGCACGACGAACTGGGGGCTTGCGAAAGAGCTGGTCAGTTGTGCAGCGTGGCTCTGAGATGACGCCAGGGGAGGCTATCGAGGTGACAAGCAAAGAGGTCCGCTTAAGAGTCCGCGAGGTCCTTTGAAGTGGCGGTCAGCTGCTGCATGCAGGCAGCTTGGAGTGGTGGGGTAGTGGAGTGACGGAGGTGGAGTGGTCCACGTGGAGAGCCTGTTTTAAAGGCAGTTAGAGGCAGAAAGTGTTGGTGGAAGGAGCTGCACGAGTGTGGAGGAGGAGGTCACACGTAGCTGAGGGGAGGCCGCTTTGGAAGGACTGCGTTGTGCCGAGACGAAATGACCTGTCACCATTTGTTAACAGTGGAAAAATAATCACGGGACTTTGTACGGAGAGACTTTGTGCAGGAGTTGAAGGTCACGTTTGGTACATTTCCGTGGTGCGGAAGGGTAATGAACTGGTCACCAGAGTGTAGGTCAGCTACTGGCATCAGCTTGTGTCACAATGGACCCCGTAGAATCAACGGTGAGTAAATTACTTTGACTTCAAATTTTGATTTAAAGCTTTCGTGACTGCAGTAATTCATATTCTTAGTTTTTTTGGTAAAGTTACGTTGAAGGGAAACAACAAAATAATAAAATATATATAAAACAATAAAAAATTCTCACGACGTTTCGACCATAACTCAAACGGTCATCTTCAGGTGTGTTGGTTTGCAAACCTTCAACGTGACTCTACCGAAAAAACTAAGAATATATACTTTGACTTCACTTCATGGGGTCTCTTTTAGCATGACTAATGTTGATGTTGGAGGTGAAGAAGAAAAATAATAACACCTTAATGTTCTTTGGTTCTTTCGGTAAAGTAACGTAGAATGAGAATAAAATAATAAAATAAAACAATAAAATTCTCACGACGTTTCGGCCACAACACAAGCGGCCTTCTTCAGGTGAAGGAACAAAAAACTGTCAGGACGACAGAGCTCCATTGTTCCTTCACCTGAAGAAGGCCGCTTGTGTTGTGGCCGAAACGTCGTGAGAATTTTATTGTTATATTTTATTATTTTATTCTCATTCTTCGTGACTTTACCGAAAGGACCAAAGAAGATGAATCCTTGTAGTCACGAAAGCTTTAAATCGAAACACCTCGATGATTAATATTTCTGATGGAAACCAATGTGTGTTTTTAGTTTTTAAGATAGATTGTTTTGAATTTATGGAGTACATTTCTGACTTGGCTGCTCCTCTATTTGATCACTGCCTAAACGTGCTGAGGCTGATTGTCTTGTATTAGTTGTTGTTCCCCGTGCATACAGAAACAGGGTGTGCTTTGTACAACCTGTGCAGATGATAATGTTTGTGTCTTACCTGTATCCTGACCTTTTTGTGTTTAATGAGATACATTCTTATTCTCATTATCTAAATCCACACGACATAGGGGTGTCACAGTGGCGAGATGTTGATCACCTAGCCTGACATACTGGAGATTGTGGGTTCGATCCCGACCCTGACGCCTGTATATTTTTCCTCCACATTTAGAAACATGCGTTTTGAGTATTTGGTTGCTGTAAATTTCCACGTAATAAGCCACTTCGTTGAGCTATCATTTGTGGCCAGGTCGCTTCTGAAAAAGAGCTGTAAAGCTCAGTGAGCCTAACCTGATAAAAATAAGTTGTATATGCAGTACACGCTGTATGAGTGTTTATGTCAGAAATGTCTGTCTTTCTTATCATTATTAATAATCATCAGCCATGATCTATCCACTGCTGAATCAATGCCTCCACAAACGATCACCATCTCTCATGGTCTCACAATGCAACAATCCACCGAACGTATTTACACGAGCTCTACACATCACCCCGTCTCCGTGGTGGATTCCTCACAGCGTGTTTGTTCCTACCTTTGGCTGCCACTCCGTCATGAGAACCAAACTCCGGCCACTATCCCTTTACCAAAAACGCAGTTACTTTTCTTACGGTTAATATGGTTCTCTCTAACGTGCGTATGTTCTCTGATCCAAGTGTCCATCTATCTGTCTTTCTCAGTGTGCACCTATCAGCTATTATTCTATCTTGTGTCATACGTGGCAGAGCAGGTAATATACACTGGTTGGAAACGTTATTATTTTGAAATATTGGTATTTCTTTTCGTTATTAAGTTCATTTCCAAACAACATCCATCTACTCTCATCTGCCTTTTAAATGCAATAATTCATTCACCGTATGACTGTTTTTTTTATCCATATTTGCAGCCTTCTCTTTTAAATTATTCAATGTTATGCTGCAGTCGATTTCCATCTCTTAAAATGAATGTCATCAGAAAATATCAGATGTTAATATTTTCTCAGATTTGTTTGGCCATATTTCTTAAACCCAATTATCAGAAGAACATATATTTTGATGTTGCTGTGTATAACTTCGGAAAAAGCACGTCTCCTTGTCTGACTCCTTCTCTCATCTAAATTTTTTACTTTTATTTTGTAATGAAAGTCAATTATTTTTTAAAATATATCTTTTTCTATTTAGGCCTGGGTTTTTTTTATTCAGATTTAAATGACTGCATCAACTTCTACTGAGTAAAATGCCTTTTCAAAGTCCACTAAGACTATTCACTAGTATTTTAAAGAAAATAATCGCGAACTAAGATTGGTAGAGCAATCTTTCTTACTCCCAGCTTGCTGTTTTGTTTCGATTATCTATACCGCTTCCATTATTCTGTTCCCAGTGATCTTCATCAACAATGTATATGCATGCAAGAAGAGGCTAGTAGATCCGTATATCTCCGAGTCGGTTTTATCACCATATTTTATATGTAGAATTATCGCCACATAATTCCATGATTGAGATTTTTCATTTCTGTGAAAATATTTATGGAACAGAGCTACTACTTTTGTTCTAAAAATGGTTCCACTATTTTATGGTGTTCACAGCCAAACATTCAACATGTGCAGCAAACTGTTTAATTTTTAACTATGACATCTAGAATGTCCTCATGTTCATCTGAAAACAGTACATTACGGAACAATTATGAAAAGAATGAGAGTCAGAGAGTACAACACAAAAGTGATTGAGGGTGTCATCATTAGCAATGAAAGCACTGGCGGAGCCAGTGGGGGTGGGGTGGCACGTGCCCCCCCAATGATCTGATCGAAATCCCTAATTTCGATCGGATCATTGGCGTTTATTAGTAATAAATCGGCATTTTGCGATCCCCACTGCCACTGTGTAGCATATTATTAAGTGCCAGGGACTCTATGAGATGATAGGACAATAGTCTGAGTCCATAATTGGCAATAAGTAACGGCAAAGCAGTTATAAGCGACTCAGAATTGTGCGCAGTTGCGTACACAGTCCACGACTTCCCTGAAGGCATTCACCTTCAGCGAGCACGATGCCGATCACACAACACGGTTCGAATTCGCCTCTCGATCGATGGCTGCGCCATCGCCGCACACGCGTTGAATAAAAAGCAAGGGACAAGTCCTTACTTACTAACAACTCCTTATTTACTAACAATTTCTTACTTACTAACAACTCCTTACTTACTAACAACTCCTCTATCATTTTTCATTGCTGGAGGGGTTGCCCCCCCTACCTGAAAATCCTGGCTCCGCCATTGAATGAAAGTATAAAGGCAGTAAGAAGGTTTATGACGGGCAATTCACAAATGGTAGCCCTTCAGGAGAAAGATGAAACCATATCACATAATAGCCATATGTTTGCATTAGTAAAGGGCTTTTATGTAGATCTCTATAGCAAAAAAATCATATATCCCTGGAATCGACCCCCATTTCTCATCATTGCACGATGTAACCCACGGAAAGTTGTGCTCTGCTACGTGCTAGCAGTCTTTCTGAATGGTGACTCACCAGATGATGACAACGTAGATTCATATATGGACAGTATCACAGGTGCGTTCGTTCGTTCGTTTGTCAATCCGCTTGTTCTGGTGAGGGTCGCTGCGGCACCGTGTTGAGTCGTGGCGGTCCAGACGTCCCTTTCCCTGGCGACAGACTCCAGCTCTTCTTAGGGAATTCCCAGGCGTCCCCAGGCCAGCTGAGCGACATCGTCCCGCCAGCGTGTCCTGGGCCGGTCCCGGGTTCTTTGCCCAGTGTCATAAGTGTCATTCATTGCACGCTGTTTTCTGACTGGGTTGTTGCAGAGGAATCAGAGCCGGTGGTGGATGATGGGTCTTAGATGTGGAGTCAAAGCTGTTGTAAGGAAAAGTTGATCATGGGGGCCTCGGAAAATGAGAGCCATATATATGACAGCATCTGGGGAGGGGGTCGAGATGTATGATTATCGTTTATGATGTACGGTATTACAGCGTGCGTAG